ACTAAAGCACTTGTGTTATGGAAATCGGAAACAACAACGGTACCACAAATACCCAAACCCGAGACAATGTAGAAAAGTTAGTTTTCTACATTGACCCGGACGGGAATCGAACCCGTGACCTTAGAGATAACGACACCATGAAAACCACAGATCAATAAATACAGTAGAAGTGGTTAGTAAGCGTCAGACGCGTGCCAACTATAAGGTCTCAAAAGACCTACCTGAGCTCAGTCCGCCATTGTCGCTTTGTAGGGCATGGTTGTGTCATTCTTTCGTGCAAATTCTCTAAAATCCTGGTAAAATGCCTTATTGTGCCTAATTTTGGAGTGCAAAAATAATAGCCGCACCAAAAATATTACCTGTGGTGATATTTTATATCATCGAGAAGTCTTATTTTAATAAATATTCAATTTTTAGTTTATCGAAAAAAAAAAATTTGTTACAAGAAACGAAAGTAAAACTTATACCCCTGCAATACGGTCGCTTCTTGTTTGAAGAACTACATTAATAACTCTGATTCGGCGTCGTTCAGCAAACCACTAGATGGCAGCACATTGATTGAAATTTCAATATTTGAACTTTCAACGATATGCCAACAGGCTAAAGTTTAAATTATATTTACAATCCAGAATTTGTTATTTCTTTTTAAATTTGAAACTGCGACCAGTCAATGTCAAGATTTTGTAAAGTTTCAAATTAAGAATGTGTGAGTTTTGGCGACAAAGGTTCTGAAAGTAATCGAAGCCGTGCGGTGTGCAAGCCACGCAACCGCAGTCCGCAAAAATACAGAAAATACAAATTAAATTACTATTATCCCTTATTGAACCAATACGTTTCATGATATTCCTCAAAGTAGATAACGTTACTTTGTTTAAATCCTACGATAATTTGAACTGACAATATAGCGTCTAGTTAGACACAAAATTTCCATGACGTCACACAATGTACCTCTACGTTAAATCTCTGCCATCAAGTACTTAGTCGCTTTGTATTGTGTCTTGTAATTTGTAGCCTTTTATTGTCCACTAAGGCTCCATCTTTACGATTTACACTCATGTGATAAGTGGTTCTATTGTGTTTGTATATGTCACGTCATGTCTTATTATTACTTGACACTTTGTTTTATAAGATATTTTCTTTTATTAATAATTATCTCATTCAAACAAAGTGGACACAAAGAACAATGGTGGACTCCCATACAAATTTTTGTTGACATAATTTGTACGCCTTTGTTTATGAAAAATGTGTGAAAATATTTAAATTCCTGATCAAATTTTGTTGTGAGTTTACTATTCTGAGAAATCTGGGATTAAAGATATTCCAGTTTGAACTATTGGAGGTTATTTTCTACATAATTGAATAAAGTATAAATATTCACTAAATGAAATTCAAATAAATAGAAATATTTGGTATATTATTTTATCAAAATAAACTACAGAAGCCTTAAACAGACAGAGTTAATAGAAGCCAGATCCAGCCGGATCGAAAGAATTTTTTCTAAGTGTCTGATCTTTGTTTTAATAGTTATAACAAACTAGTGGAGTCATTTGACGGAAAATATATGAAAATCACACCTGTTATTCAGTAAAAACTTAATTACAATCTTGATATTTTTTTATTATATCACGTGACAGGACAAACAAGTCGTGCGCCTGATAGTAAGCCCACAACAGCTGCAGTGTCACTCAGAGCTTTAAGTCGCAAAAACCTGATGGACACTGCCTATCGTCACCCCGAGGTATAAAATTTACAAGTTGCATGTGCCTGTAATTTGACCAGGACCCTTCAAACTTGTAACCCAGTAATGCTCAAATTACTGCTTGACGGCAGAAATAGGTATGGTGGCAGTACTTCCCTGGACGAACTGTTTCACAAGGAGCTCTACTGCTACATTTCTACGAACACTGATTCTAGCCTTTAGAAAGAAGAAAATAAGTTCCTGAATATACTGTACGAAAGATCCCTACTTAATGTGTCTCTACTTAAAGCTACATTTTAAAAGGAACTAGTCCGTATCTAATCGAAGTCTATTTGCAAATCAATCGTTTCTCCGACAACGTCAAATAACATGCTCGAGGAGCGTAGATGAATGGTTATGTTTATTCTCGTGCAATGCTTGTTTTGTATGCATGGGATGTGCCGAGACCAATTCGATCGAGCGGAACAGCCTACATATATGACGGTTTACATATCAATATCTTCTCGTGTACATATAATGCGTGTTTTGCTGCTGTTGTTGTAGGTTTATAAATAAATAAATAACGCATACACTCGTAGCCCCGCACTAGGAAGACCCTATATCGCGTCTGCCCTATACACACGTTGACAACCACAAATTACGCCCAAACTTACAAGATAAATAAATGTAAGCCATACAAATATTTATCCCGGGAATCGAATACGGGACCTTTGTGTGGCAGCCCAACATGGTAACCGTAGACAGTTGTTGAGCCGTCGTGAGGTTTAAACTGGTTTTTTTTTTCTGGAACAAAATTTGTGACTAAAACCTAGCCGGCCTATGCTACCAGCAGCATAAACATAGCCTTCTTTTGCAAAATTATTCATAGCATAACGAAACTTCTCCGGGAGACGCGCAACCTATTTTTTTGACTCGTATCTAGCTTGTGCGTTGCGCAATTCACTTAAAGTTTATTATTGTATTGTTACAAAAAATTGGCTTTCATTCCATACTCTACGAGTAGTACCATAGAAACGGTGCTATTTGGGGGTTAGTTTCGGTAAATTCGGGGTATTTTTCCGCAGTTCTAACTATACTTATGAAAGGAATTGATTAACCCAAAAACCAACTTTCAGTACTTCGCGTATGTTGGGTATTTAATTACATTTGTTAGCAAATGATCTCAATTCACTGCTGTGACGTTCGTTTTTATAATAATTCTGCTCACAGATTTCGCACGTTGACTTCCTCAAACTTAATATATTTTATTTTTTTCTATACTTTAGTGGAATGGATTTTGTTTGAGTGCGATTCGTAATATATAACACCAAATGACATATTTTTAGTCGATATAACGTTCAACAGATATAATTAATTTATGGTATACAGGCTTTTGACATAATATTCTTAATTTCCTACTAACGAACATTACCAATTTAGTGGTCACCTCTCAATGAGGAAACTGTACATCCTTTATTGCAGTACTAAAGCTACACAAGTCCCTTCCTTATAACTCAATGCTAATGTCTCGTAGACGGAAAAACATTTTAGTACCTCAACCAATTTCTAAATCTGTATTCGCTTAAAGGCAATTTATAGTAAAATCGGCACATTTATATAACTCTGTCAACCAAATAAGAAATATTTACCATTTAAACTTGTAGAATTGTAAAAAAGCGTTGACAAATTGCCTGTTGACACTTAATTTTGAAGAAACGGAGAACATAATTACTACGTAAGTTTTCTTATTTTTTACTTATGCTGTTTGTGCGTTTCTATACTTTGTCTCCTCTATATACTTTCTACACCAACAAAAATTCTAGCCTATAATAATAATAAATAAATAATCTTTATATCAAAGGTAAGCAAATTACAATTCATCATATTCATTAAACTCTACTACTCATTCGTAAGGCAGGTTCTTCTGTGAGGAATGTGCAATAATTTGAAGATGTTAGTAAATAAACATTTGTATACATTTATCATTTACAACAATTATTGTAATTTATTTATAAGTTGAAATTTAAGTTTAGTTTTCATTTACATTTATCATTTAATTTTTTTTTTGTAGATTCGTAAAACTTAGCATATCGCATCATTTTTGTTAACTTGTATAATTAAGTAGTGCAATTAGTTTAGTAATTTAGAAATTAATAGTTTGTTTCATACAACTAAATGATAATGGAAGAGCGGGACTTCCTGTCACAGGTGGACGACACCTACTAGAAAGTCCCAACCTTGTGTAAAAAACAACTTACACAAAACAGAAATCAACTTTTTCATTTTTTTCATTTTCATTCTAGCATGATATAAATGTCACTAAGTATAATAGACGATTGATGTAACAACTTTCAATCTAATGTACCGGTGGCATAATGTTCATTTCATATAAACACTTCAAGTATAACATTCTCTGAGTATAATAATGTTGAATGTGTATGTGTGAAAAACAAAATTCATATAATTCACAGTGGTGTTTAGGTGCAACGACAAATGAACCGAATTTGTTTGCATTTCCTAGTTGGTTCGACCTCCTCCTGTGGGTTAGGTTAGGTTAGTATATGACAAATCTGCCAGAATCGAATTTGTTTGCATTTGCTAGTTGGTTCGATTTCATACAGTATATGCAATTAAATATTCTGCTTAAAGTTTTAATAAATATATTTTATAACACCAAAAGCACTTAAAGCTGTACAAAAACAATTAAATTTTTCCATTGTACATTCAATGGAATAAAAGAAATTCTTGTCAACATAATGTACGGCGTTTCGACTATTCGTAAAACGAAAAATTGTGTTATATTATTTAATACATTATACTGGTAGTACTTATACCATTTGTTCATTATGTCACTTAATCATTATATCTAATGTTTGCTATACTGAAGGTTCATTATACACATTGAAATTATGCCTTTTGTTCATTATATATAGTGAGTGATTATATGCTTAGAAATTATATCAAATGTTATTATACCAAGTGAAAATGGATTATTTGTTGTTATATCTTCCATTACACACCCGTTTTATTGCCTATTATATTCCGCTAGCAGAATTAGACTGTGTATTATGAGTAAATTAATTAAAATATTCTAGGTGTCGGCCAAACGCCACTTGAAATAGGAAAAAACACAATGATTACTTAAAATTGCTACATTGTATTCGATTGTTTGTGTATTAGTAAAAATAACTTCGTATATATTTCGCTTTGAAATTATTATTGAAAAAAAAAAGAAGACAGAAACTGACTTTGGTTTCTAAATACAAAGGTAGTTTAAAGGTATTGTATTTTTGTCTTCTTACATAAATCTTCTTTGTTGCAGGCGATTTCACCCTCGCGGCAGAGTGAGCCCGCCGCCCACCATGTTACGCCCGGAGTCGCCGCTCGCTGACCATCGCAGCCTGCTCCCGCGCCGCCTGCTGCCCGTCAAAGCCCAAATCGCCCCCGCTGACAAACGAAAAAACCGGCGATCCCTTGAACTCAACGACAATGCTCCTTATGACTACCCAAAACTTCTCATCTCGAAAACTACAGACTCTTTAAACACCGAGTGTCCGCGCAGACTCATCCACAAACAAGACTCTACGGACAGTCTTAAACGCGCGCTTATATCGAAAGATGAAAAGAAAGTCGTTATCAAGGATGATAAAAAGGGTCAGGCGAAATTGGATTCTAAAGACTCAAGTGAGAGTTTAAAGAAGGCGTTGCTGTATCGTCAGGAGTCCAATGATAGCGGTAAGCGCAGGGACTCCGATCCGAAATGGGTAAAAGAAGACGTAAAACGAGGGAGCGATAAAAAAGGTCTGTTGGAAACGGATATAGATGATTGCAAGAGGATATATGAGAGGAGGTCAGGTTGTGCTTTGCCAACATTGCCTCCTGTGGCAGAGAAAGGGCTCCACAGCCCGCCGTCCCCTAATGGAAGTCCTGTGATTCCGAGCGTAACGGCCGCGGCCGAGGGTGTGGTGCGATGGGGCAGCGGCCTCCTTTCTCCTCGCGAAGAGCCCAAGCTGAGGCCAGCCAGGAGTTGGTATGGATACGGGACGCTGCCGACTGATAGTGATAAGGTGAGTTTCAGCACTTTATATTTTGTCGTTCTGAAATTTTCGTATGATTTCCTCTGCGGCCTCCCGCTTAAAATGTAAAAAGCGAAACTAACATAATAATATATTTCGAAGGTCTTGGGATCCACGTAACGTATTTTTTTATGATATTAAGTGACAGGACGAACAAATCGTGCACCTGGTGATAAGCGACACGTCTGTAACAGTTGCACTGCCACTCAGAGCTTTAAATCGTAAAGATCGTGCCACTGCACTCGTCCCCTTATGACATAAAGTTGATAAGTCCCATGTGCCTCTAGTTTCACCAGCTACCTTCAAAACCGGAACGCAGTAATTCTCACATTACTTTTTGGCGGCAGAAATAGTATGGTGGCAGTACTTCTCTAGACGAACTCTTTCACAATGAGCTCCACCGTATATTTCTTTAACTAACACTGATTATATGGCCTTTATAATTGTAACTTTTTTCAATTCAATTTCCATGGGGTCCCTTCATCAGTCAGAAGACTTCTGTCAATGGGACTGCTACGGACTCCTTTCTGGTTGTCATGGTGACGGTGATTTGGTGATTACAACTATATTGCGTCAAGTGACAAGTCGACTTTTGTTTGCGGAAAATAATTAGTAATTTGTGATAGCCGAAACGAACCCGGAACAGCATCAGGGACCGCCTCAAGAGTATAACCCTTCGAAACAAAAAAGAATTTTCAAAATCGTTACACATTATTCAACGTTATTCAACCTTATCCCTTCCTCTCCTTTCCATCAGCGGACCACCCGTGCCGGACTGCGTTGCCACAGATGGACGGTCAGTTCAATACCGTCCCGCACTAAAAAGTTTGGCAATTCGTTTTTATGCCGAACCATCAAATTGTGGAACCAACTCCCGGCGCATGTATTCCCTCCCCTCTATAACATCGGGTCCTTCAAACGTAGTGTGAAGAAGCATTTGGCCAGATCGGCAAAATGATAGTGACGGAGTGAAGATATTTGTGTTTTCCATCCGTTACTCTCATCTCTGGACTGTATTCGCACTTTCCATCAGGCGCGGTGCAGTCATTGTCACAATAAAAAAAAAAAAAAAAAAAAAAAACACAATTAATGGAGAAATTGGAAAGCCCCTCATCAGATTCTGACTTGATGACAATGGGACCACCATGAGAGTGCAGATTTTGAAACAAAAAATTACTTTTTAAATCAGTCCATAACTGACAAGGATATCTGAAAACATACATACAGCCGAACGTATGACTTCCTCCTTTTTTTTGAAGTCGGTTAAAATATTTGCTGAATACGGGATTTTCCAATGAAAGTTTAATTACCTTTTTGATTCATATATTGTCGTATTCAACGTTAATTTAAGCAATCACATCGTTACTATTAGTGAAGATTATTTTCCTACTGCCCGAAGTATTTTCCTTCTAAACAAAAGGTTTTCCCGCTATTTAAATTTTTCGTATTTCCCCTGATAAAGCAAAATATTTTTCAAATTATTTGTCATAGCTTGGGAAATACATACCTACCTACATATGTAAATAAGTCTGCAAAGGCTATCGATACGAATGTGGGTTTGTGAAAATAAGTCTATTGCAAGTTAACAAAAGCCATTTTATTATCACATTATTTAACCTTACATCAACGATACCAAACGGTTTGAATATTATGGCACAATAATTGTAAATATAATAAACAACGTTTATCTATTTCAAAGTTTAAGTGTACGTATTTAGCATACTATTGTGCTATCACACACACGCATAAATGCCTATGTACTCGTACATAAGTGAGGTATTGGTAATTTAATGTAAATGTTGAGAACAACAGACCGTAACCCTTTAAAGTCACTAAAACTGTTTTTAACCGCTAACGGAAAAGAGAGGGCTTATAAGTTGAAGCCTTTGTCTGTGTATGTGTGTCTGTCTGTGGCATTTACATGTCGTGTGTAGCACCCAAACGAATGCATTTTTTATTTTGAAGGCTTCTTCAATCGGGATGGTTCGCTTATAACACTACCCAATTTCTAGGCCCCTGGCTCAAGGGTGGGCGTGGCCCCTAGCTAGTGTGTCGAATTACACTACTCTGCCACCGCCCTAACCAGTTCTGAACGTGTACGTCGAGAGCATTGTACCTGTTATTACTATGGCGTCATCGAAACTTGTATTTGTTGTTTCTCATCGAAATTTTTGTAAATTTAAAGTTTTGGGGTGGTTGGGATTTACCTCTTAGCGGTCAACCCCGGGACACCACTTGTATCAATAACATGTAGTGAGTGCTGAATGATCCCACTTTGCGGTGGTAGGTTCTGTAAGAGACCGACTGGCTTGCTACCACCCTTTTTTTTTTTGACGGGGGGGATATCTTTATGGATACCCCTGAGCCCAGGGAGACTCAGGGGTTATGTGGGGACTCTCCCTCCAGTCTGGAGCGCCTACCCCACTAAAACCCCCCCGGGTTTCCCTCTCGCCGGTTGAGTCGGCGCCGTCGGATCAGTGAACATTCAACACGACGCCGCCCGGCCGCCCTAGCTTACGCCAGGGCTCCCGCGCCAACGGAGGGGCGAGTCGGTTGTCCTCCGACCCGCCCCCCAGACGAGTGAGGCCGTGCAATGCAGGCTCCGGAGTCCCTGTCCAGGGCCCGCATGTCTCACTAGGGGATCAGGCGAGCTTCCTCGGGTGACCCCTCTTGCTCTGTTGATGCGGTTGAGGATGTTATCCGGCAGGGAATGGAGTAATGTTTTCCATTCTCCGATATTCCGTTCGGTCACAAAACCCGACCCTCGTTTAATGCGAATTGTGCCCGTGCTGAGGCCCGCCAGGAATCCGCTTACCAAACGTGGATACAAGCTCGCGGCCGCAACATTCGAGCACGGAGGGTTCGCGCGATAAAGAGAGCTTTTAACTCTGGCGCCAAGTTCTGCAAACTGGTTTTCCGAGATTGATCAAATCAGAGAAAGGCAAGATTCGACCATATCAGCAAGATTGGGGCCAGACTTGCGTCGTACCCTCCTGGTACGAAGCAGTTCTGGTCCCGATCCAAAGCAGTTGAATCCAATTTCTGCCGTCCCACCTTGCCTCCCATACAAAAAACCTGACGGAACACTGGCTCACTCCGCAACAGGAAAAGCAAATCTATTTGCTTCAATATTTGCGAGCAATTCACATCTAGACGCAAGCTCGAAACAACCACCAACTTTACCTCGATGTGATATTTCAATACCGGAGATCACAATCCATGAAAAAGAGGTTCGTAGAGCTCTGCAAAATCTAAACGTTAACAAAGCTAGTGGACCTGACGGTATACCGGCACGAGTTCTGAGGTTTTGTGCGCCTGAGCTGACTCCTATCCTGACGCGTCTGTACCAAAACGAGAATCGTTCCAGGATCGTGGAAACTTGCAAATGTGCAACCAGTCCCCAAAAAGGGCAATCGTGCCGACTCCTGCAATTATCGATCTATCTTTATTACTTCCATACTCTGTAAGGTTATGGAAAAAGTTCTGATTAGCAGAGCTGCTATCATACCTTGAAACAAACGACCTACTCAGTGATCGTCAATATGGCTTTCGCCGGGGACGATCAGCTGGGCATCTTCTCGTGTATGTTACGCGCTGCTGGAGCGAAGCCATCGAGAAACACGTCGAGGTTCTGGCTGTGTCACTAGATATCTCGAAGCCTTTGACAGGGTTTGGCACGCAAGTCTGCTGAGCAAGCTTACCGCTTACATCGCATCCCTGCTGACTTTTGTAGCTGGATACCAGATTTCCTAGATGAACGGTCAATAGGAGTAGTAATTGAAGGCTGCTCATCTGATTTGATGGCTATCAATGCCGGAGTTCCTCAGGGGTCGACTCTTTTCCTGCTGCATATCAATGACCTGCTAGTCCCAGGTATTGTTGGGTATGCAGATGACAGCACTGTTACGGAGAGATATCTGTCCAGCGCAAAGGACAGCAGGGTAGTTATCCGTTCGTTGAGAGAACTTGACCTTAAGTCTTGTCTCTCAGTGCGGAGATTACAATCTGGTGGAGTCCAACGCCACCAAAACGCAGGCCTGTCTGTTTATTGCTAAAAGGAGTCAATTTGATCGGACTCCCACTTTTCGGGGTATATCTGTCTCTCTTACCGACAGCCTAGATCTCCTTGGCATAACATTGAGCGCAACCCTTTGGCGCTTATATTTAATGTAAGGCACAAATTGCAGCCAAAAAACTGGGTATCCTTAATAAGGTTAAGCGATATTTCACGCCTGGACAGCTCTTAATTTTATACAAAGCACAAGTCCGATCTTGCATGGAGTACTGCAGTCACCTGTGGGACGGCTCAGCGAAGTATCAATTTGAGGCTCTTGATTCGATTGAGCGCAGTGCCAGAAGACTTATTGGCGACGATAAGCTCGAATCTAAAGTTCATAGTTTAGCCCACCGGCGCAACGTTGCCCGTCTGTCGGTTTTTTACAGAATATATTTCGGTGAGTGTGCCCATGAGCTCCATCTAGCTCATCCCGCCCGCCCCCTTTTACCATCGGACATCCAGACATACGGCGGGATATCATCCTTAGTTGGTCGATATTCCCTTCAGGCGTACTAAGCGCTTTTCATCATCTTTTATTATGCGCACAGCACAGGAATGGAATTCCCTGCCTGCGTCTGTATTTCCGAGTTCATACAACCCGGGTATCTTTAAGGTGCGACTGAATAGGCATCTTCTGGGCAAGCTCGTTCCATCGTAGATCCTATCTTTGCTCCAGAACTAGGTAGTGGTCAAGAGCAAGTTAAAAATCTAATTAAAAAAAAAGTAAAACTTTAAAGCCCTCGGCCCGTATATCCTTATTAATAGTCTTTGTGTTCTTTTTTCCATAAATATGTCCATCAGGTACAACAAAACTCCTTTTTTCTTCACTGCGCAACATGGCGATAGCAACACAAAATGGCTGCGTGAAATAGAGGGACGAAACGATACGACTGCTCTCCGCTTTCACTAGGGACATGGAAAAAGTAACGATAGA